CAATCATACACGTATACATATCACTCCCACTCACCTTCTGCCTTCTCGGCGGCCTTTGACCGCAATAGTTCCCGATGCGTCTGTGCCTGTCCCTGCCCCCATAATCAGTCCTTCCGCAGCATGGATGCCCGAAAGTTGTATTGAGGTGCACGCAGTCCCTCTTCCGCTGATATCGGTCACACGAAAATCGCCCTTGAGCCGGAGTGTTTTCTCAACCTGCCCATATGCATGAATGTATGTACATAAAACATGTTCATCGGCATATATAGAAAGCTATATACGTACAAATATTATACCTAAAAATATTATACATACAAAAATTATACATACAAATATTATACGTACTAATATTATACGTACAAATATTATGCGTACAAATATTATGCGAACAAATATTATACGTACAATTAATAGAAATCAATAAATCTCGACATAAATACTTGCGTCTAAAAGTACAGAACATCTGCAACAAAATAGCCCATGGGCAGCCCCTGAACTTGGCGCATCTAGTAACCAAACTATCTGGAGACACATATATGTAGCATTAACTAATTGTCATACAAACAACCTATATAAACACCTTGAGGCACATATATGTAGCATTAACTAATAGTCATATAAACAACCTATATAAACACCAAGAGACAAATATGTAGCATTAACTAATAGTCATATAAACAACTTATATAAACACCTTGAGACATATATATGTAGCATTAACTAATAGTCATATAAACAACTTATATAAACACCTTGAGACATATATATGTAGCATTAACTAATAGTCATATAAACAGCTCATACAAACACCACAGTGTACGTAGCAATAACTGTACACATATGCACAATAGTGACTCAGACAACTCAGATAAACACCACAGCACACCTGTCGCATGCACAAAACACAAACGCGTTCGTGTGCCTTGTAGCTCGCTCCCCAGGTAAGGACTTGAGGACCAATAGCTGTGATTTACGACACAATTAACGACACACCGCATAATTTACGACACATCACTACCGTGCCGCCTACTACGTACCCATTCATTGGACCACCCAGCCACCAGCCACATACCCTGTACCGCTTCTCCTTTGAGAGATTCGTGAAGATGCGCTCCTTCTTTCGGCACATGACAATCATGTCGTTGAATAAGAAGGTGCGCGTGCCCCGATGGGACTTCTTATCCATGTCGGCGCCTGCCCAGAATTGTAAGGTTTTAGGGTTTGAGATTGAGACTTTTGGGCTGGTTGGTGTATGATTTTGGGTTTTGGGGGTTGCGATTTAGGTTTTTGGGCTTATTGGTGTATAGTTTTGGGTTTTGGGGTATGAGGATTGTAGGGTTGAAAAGGAACAACGAATAACTATGTATGCATGTGCGTCTTTATAAACACAGTGTGAGCTCACTGTGAGTACGTAGCCTATGAAATTAACGCGGTTATCAACGATGATTTGTATAAGCATGCCTAGAATCTATAAATAGACAATCAATAAATAGAGATTCTATAAATAGACAACCAATAAACTGAAATTCTATAAATAGAGTCAGTCAATGCTGTCTCACCCGAGGGGGTTTTCTGGTCCACTTCCGTGACGTCTCCGTAGCCCAAGAACCATCGCTTGTGGCTGACGATCGTCTCCTTCTTGTGTCCGGATTGTCCCGATAGTCCTGCATGGGTACGAATATATACAAGAGATTACCGCAATGCTTTATAATACAAGTACTCTTGCTTTATAATACAAGTACTTCGATCTGTGTAGCGAATATATACAAGGAATAAACGCAATGCTTTGTAATATAAGTACTCTGACTTGATAATATAAGTACCTTGATCTGTTTAACAAAGGTGTTTGATGAAGGATCGAGAATGCACTCACACACACATCTATTCACAGGCACACACCCACACAGACACTCACACACTCACATACATACATACCCTTACACTCACACATACATACACTCACACACTCACACACACACATAAATAAACTCTCACACACATACATACACTCAAATACATACAAACGTACCGAACAGCCAATTGATATACACCAACTGCATGCGGTTGATCTCCCGTCTCCGCTCTGAGTGGATGTCTACCAAGGCCAAGCGCATATCCCGTGCCGCACCAACGTACGCGTCACGCTCTATCTTCCCCAACGACACTTCCGACAGCCGTTTCAGCATTGCGTAGTACTCGTTGAGACGCTGTAGTGGGGCGGCATAGCCACTGCAGTCTACATCTGCACTCATTGAGGAGAGAGGAATAGATACGAATAGAGGAGGTATATAAGTGCGCTAGGATGTGAGTGAAGGTAATTCCAGGGTGTGGGAGATGTATTCTAAGCGGCATAAGTGTATATATTTATATATATATATTCATATATGTATGTATATATATTTATATGTATA